GGCATTTAGGAGAGCTTTTCTTGCCCCTTGAGAAGTTTTTATGAGTGTTTGGTTTGGAATAATAGGTGTGTCTGCTGGTAATGGTATTCTATCCTCCTGACTTGTGAGGAAAGAAAGAATATAATAGATTATTTCACCTAAATATCCACAGTCATTGTTGAGTGTTTTAATAAATGCCTGATGAAGAGAATTTTGCCTTACTCCAGACCAGGAGTGACACCGAGAGATCTGGACATTAGCCACTCAGGCCGTAGTCACCATCCCGGTGGGCATGGCTCTGCCCCCAAAGCTGCCATTAAATCAAGGCAGGTGATTCCATCCTTCTAGACCCAGTAGTCACCCCTGCTTTTGAGGTGCTCAAGTGAATGCTATTCCCAGAAATCAGGAACCATTATTAGAGGTAATTTTTTTTTTTTTTGAGACAAGAGTCTCACTATGTCACCCTCAGTAGAGTGCTGTTGCATCACAGCTCACAGCAACCTCCAACTCTTGGGCTTAACCTATTCTCTTGCCTCAGACTCCTGAGTAGCTGGGACTACAGATGCCCACCACAATGCCTGGTTATTATTTTTTTGTTATAATTGTCATTGTGGTTTAGCTGGCCCAGGCCAGGTTTGAACCCTCAGTCTGTGTGGCTGGCACTGTAATCGCTGTGCTACGGGCACCAAGCCTAGAGGTACACCTTTGGTAAAAGTTCAAACAACAACAAATCAAAATGATTCAAGATTAAAAAAAAAAAGGGTAATATTTGTTTCATTTTAAAAGCTAAAGATTCTCCCCTTAGAGCTCCCTGAAAATCCAAGTGAACATCAATCTGACCTTGCTTTGCCCTCCTTCTGTTCACTCCTCTGTCTCCTATTAGACCCGCACTATCAATATTTGGGTGAGCTAATGCTTATTATGGGGGCTGTCCTATACCCTGTGGGATGTCTGGCAGTACCTCTGGTCTCTACCCACTAGCTGCCAGTAGCAGTGCCCTCCTTGTGTGACCATCAAACATGTCTCCATAGGCTTAGTGGCTCACACCTGTAATCCTAACACTCTGGGAGGCCATGGAAGGAGGATCACTTGAGCTCAGCTGGAGTTTGAGTCCAGCTTGAGCAAGAGCAAGACTCCAACTCTACTAAAAACAGAAAAACTGGCTCAGTGCTCATAGCACAGTGGTTACGGGTGGCAGGTTCGAACCCAGCCCAGGCCAACTAAATAACTGCAACTAAAAAATAGGCAGATGTTGTGGTGGGCACCTATATTCCCAGCTACTTGGGAGGCTGAGGAAAGAGAATCGCTTAGGCCCAAGAGTTTAAGGTTGCTGTGAGCTGTGACGCCATGGCGTTCTACCAAGAGCGACATGGTGAGACGCTGTCTCAATACATTAATTAATTAATTAAAATAGAAAAATTAGCTGATCATCGTGGTAGGTGCCTATATTCCAGCAACTTGGGAGGTTGAGGCAAGAGGATCGCTTGAACTCAGGAGTTTTCTAGGTGATACCTAGGCTAGGTGTGAGCTAGGCTGATACCTAGGCTGTGAACTATGCTAATGTGGGCAACAGTATGAGACTTTGTCTCCAAAAATAAAAAAGCAAAAAGTCTCCAGACATTATCAAATGTTAGGAGGGTGGGGCAGGGCAGAATCACCCCCAGGTTAGGAACCAGATGCCTAAATTCCTGCAGCCCCAGCCCTCAGCCCAGAGCCTGAACAGAGGAGGTGCTCAGTGAATCTTTAGCTGATGGTAAGACTACATCAGAGGAATGAAGCCCTTTTTCAAAAGAAAAAAACATGTTCCTTCTAAGGTGCAGGGTCTCTGATCTTTAAATGTTTTTATATCACAGTGCTTTTAGTGCTAATGTTCTTAAGATGGCCCTAACCCTGAACACATGGAACTGAAAAGGTTACATACATCTATATGGTACACCAGAAAGGAATGTGTTTTTCACAAAGTATGGTAAACAAAACAAAACAAAAAGGATGACTATCTATATTTAAATGATAATGATCTGTTCTCACGGCACACTTAAAGCAAAGACAGCTTGCTTTTTTTACCCCTCCAAGAAGCATGTTGAGAAAATACAGGGGCCCTGTTGGAGTTTTCATCTTGTAAGATCCTTTTGTTGTATATTCTTCTTCTTTTCTTGGGTTCATTAAACTTTCAATTCAAAACACATATACTTACCCACTGATTCAAGACGTCAGAGGTCCCAGCAGGGACCAGTGGCTGAAAGGCGGCTTTGCAGGTGGCACCTCTCCTGTCCCTGAGGAGTTAACTGACTTATCCCTGCTTCTCTCCTCTCTCCCTCAGCTTTTCAAATTTTACCCCAGAAGAAACTCCATCTCTGTTCCTTTGAATTCTATGGGCTTTTGAGTCAGAGAAGGGATGATTCTTTTCTTCAGCTCTTTAATTCAGCAGATCACAGAGCCGTGGCGGCTGCCTCGCTCTGCTGCTTCCAGGATGGAATTCAGCTGAGCAGTGGGAGAAAGCAGAGGCTGGTTCTCAAACTGACCTTTGGGCGCAGATGATCTAATTGAATCGTGGCTTTTGTCTGTGTGATGAAGAGCAGAGAGCTCCTTCATTCCTCCGCTGCTGTTCTTCTTTGTGCTGGGGGACCCAGGGACTGTCAGAAATAGAAATGGTGACACTATTCTCGCCTTCTGAACATTAGTTACCACAGACCAGGACTCGGAGATAAAAGAGCATTTGGTAGAGAATGTTCACCTTTAAATATACTTGTGAAGGTTTCAGAGCTACAGAAGATAAAAAGAAGAAATATCACACTCGTATATCCAATCTCCTGTTTATTATGGGAGGACATGGTATTTTAGAATCCCCTAGTTTCTCAGCATTGACACACCTCCCAGGGAACAGAGCAGGACAGAGAAGGGTAGAAAATGGACTTAGGGGGTCAACAGAGAACAGCCAGCATGATCATTCTCAGCCCTGTGTTCACTAGGAAGGGGACACCTTGTGGACTTGTCCAAGGTTATGAGGGGAGGGCCGAGTCAGCTCCCCCTCCCTCCCACCCCGTCTGAGGACATGCTTCATTCTCAGCTTTGCTAAATGACAGAGGCAACTTCAGGTCACCCATAATCCCCACGGAGACAGTGGTGGGCAGTCCCAACTTCCCTTTTATCTCTGCCCTGTATGCCCACGTCATATATGTCAGCAGAACTGCCCCTTGGGGAACCCAGCTCTGCCACCAAGTCCAGGATCAAGCACAGGACATTGGTCCTTCTTAAGGGTCTCCTACCATACCCACAGCACCGGAGAGGATGTGACACCAGAACTGGTGGAGGTAGTCATGGTGACTCAGGTGGTTCTCTGCCCCCAGACAGCAAGGAAAGGAACACCATCGGTTATTATCTTATCTTGGTCCCCTAAAGGGTATTTCATGGAAGCTAAGTCCAACAAGATGCCCTGCAGTCAAATAGATTTGGTAAATCTACATACTCGCTAGGAAAAGGGAGATGCATGTTGGCACATTAAAGACGCAACCTGCTGCCAGGTGTTAGCACTGCGAAATCAGCTCTTGTCCCTCCTAAAGGCAGAAATAACTTGGGCTGTTTAACCACAAAGTCTTCCCTTAACAAAACACCAATCCTCATCCCTTCTACCACTTTGAGAAAGGCTAGCCAACCGGGTCACAGGCATCAGGGACTAGAGTTTAAAGAGGACATAGCTTACTCAGACATGGTAACCATAGTTGTCACCAAAAATGGACCTTGGCAAGCAATTCCAAATGAACATTTTTCCAATGTGTCATTTTTTATAGAGCATTTTCATCCTATAGCTTTATAGCTTGTTAACTTTTATTTCAAGCCAGCAACAGAGCCAACATGATATCCATCTATAGCTGCAATAACTCTAGTACTTTTATGTTGGAATTTGAAAGGTAAGCTGTCACAACATTCCAACTGAGATTATCCTAGCATCACAGGACAAGGAGGATACAGACACAGGCTCAGACATCAGCCTTCCCGAGCTCAATTCCAGGCTCTACCACTTCCCAGCTGTAAGACCTCAGGAAGTCCCTGGACCTTTCTAGGACATATAATGTTCTCTTTAAAATCTTTAACATACCGATTGTAGCAGAAGAATACAGTTATACACAAGGATTCCCATGAGCACAAAACCCTTGGCTCAGCCCCTGGCTCAGTAAGTGCATGTCATTGTCATCATCATCATTATTACCCCCCTTCAGTCCTCTAGGCACCAGCACTTTGGCTATAAATTCTTGTTAAGCTGACGTCAGCGCCAAACAGCTGAATGTCTCCTGCCTTCTGTGCTTTTAGAGAACACAGAGTCAAAGATGAACATCCTGGTCTTGCTAAGGGCTTGGAGATTTTTCATATTGCTTTTTCTTGGCAGGAAAAAAAAAAAAGTAACATCAGCAGATGGCCATCTTGAAGCTGTAAGTGGCAATCAGGTTGATACAGTCCTAGGGTGTGATGACATTGAGTTTCACATGTTTCTGGTAAAATCAACATTCTAAGACCAAAGTTATATTAAGTTGTATTTACCCATTCCCACACTTAGTCATTTCATTTAAATAATCGTCCCAAATGTTATTTCCTTGTGCAAAGCTGTAAGTTTATATTTTTAATTAATTATTAAAATAAATTTACTTTTTTAGTATAGACAGAGAAATCTGTAAACAATAATATAATAAGCTCCTCTCTCCTTCACTCTCTCCCCCCTCCTTAATTTTTCTTATCCTTTGGAAGGGAAGATTTTCAACTTTAGAAATTTTGAGATACATTTCTTGAATAATTTCTCCACTCAGATACCTCTGGAATATTTATCATGTTTTAACATGATAGACAACAAAGAACCATTTTTTGTTTTGAAAACAAAAAATAAGTGGCTATAATTCAATTGGGAAGATCTTTTAGAAACAGAATTTCTCTAATACTCAGTATATGATTAAAAAAATATAAAATCAAAGGTCAACTGAAGTTCAGCAGTTCCCAGCAGACATTCAGTTCATGCCCCCTGTATGACTGGTGAATCATCTGCTGTGACGTCCGTTGTGTCAGTGGTGCTGGAAGCTCCCACGGCCTGGCTAACTATGCCTGCTGGTGAAGCACAGTCAAGTGTGCCTTCCTCCGGCCTGCACCTGCCTTGCTCCACTTTGAAGTGTTTTGTAAAACTGCCAGTCCTAATGCAGATGAGTGAATCACACCCAGCAAGCCACAGAGCAGCAGCGTCCTCAGGGTTCTTTCCATCACCAACCCTCGGCATCACTCAATGCTAAAGCTGTGCATGACTTATATGTCTAAGCTCTGGGCTTGATCTCAACTCTGTTACATTTTTAAAACTCAAGTTAAAGGAACTGTTAAGGTCCTGGCCATGCATTTCATTCAAATCAATTCTAAATTGTTATGATTACAGGTTCGGGACTTTATATGTGTTGATTATACCTCAAGAGCCCTCTGTTTAAGTATTTGCCTTGCTTAGATACATCTCATTCCTTGCGTTGGTGGTTGTTTCATTACATTACTGATTAGGCCCAGGGAGCATTCGTTTCCTTCACCCGGGTCCACGTCTCTTAGTCTGGAATTATTCCAATGACTTTACCTTCTGTTTGCTCACTCTTATGGGAATCATTTTATAAACTCATACGTCAAAATATTTCTTTATCTCTGATTACTTCTTTTATCTGATTTGCTCTCTAATTTTCAAAAGCTCCTCCCAAATCTATCTGTTCTAGTTGACCAATTTGACATGCTTCTCTTAGCAGTGTACTATTTTCTAAGAAATATTTTCCTACTACAAATTTCAGGCTTATTTTCATCCCTGAACCTGTTTCGAGCAAACAAAAGATAATCAGGGAACATACACTTAGAATTTGTAATTATTTTAAATTAATTCCACCCCTTTTATGTTTTCTAAATTTTTTTCTCCATTACTAAATGCTAACCAAAAATTTTATTGGCAAAACTCCATTATGAGTTTTCCTCTTTGTTTCTTCTTAATGTTGAAGACCTGGACCAGTTTATAGTTCACATAGCTGATGTCATGTATTCTGTACTATTTTGTCAAAAGCAACTTACAAATTATTTTTCCTTCCAGGAAATTTGAGGGAGGGTGGAAGGGAAGGCACAGTTGGCAGTGATGGGGTGGCAAGACTCCACATACCACTTAAGCATGAAGAATGTTTACACATGTTACCCAAACAACATTTTTCCCCAGTGTCCAGTCTAGTTGTCTCTCACTCCCCTGAATTACCAGGATCCCCTGAAAGGGGCCCAGCCAGTCCTAGGGCTACAGCCTGAGCTCACAGGCGGTGCCCTCCCTACAGGTGTACCTGGCAGCAGGCACTGTGTACGGCCTGGAGAGCCAGCTGACTGAGCTGGAAGATGCTGCCCGCTGCATCCACAGTGGCACCGATGAGACCCAACTGGCAGATCTGGAGGACCAGGTGGCCACAGCTGCAGCCCAGGTCCACCATGCTGAAATCCAGGTGAGCACTCTCCCCTTTGCCCAGAGGGGAGCCCACAGGATGAAAGAGAGAACCCCATCTCTCGCAAGAATTGTTTTAAGGCTGTTGTATTCATCAGTTCCTATTATCTCCAGCATGCTTGCATGGATATGGTCCTTCCAGGTGGAGTCCACCAAATACTTGTTTTGTAAAGTGCTGCCCTCTTCTCTCCCAGATTATAGCCTTGATAATACAGGGTGGCCATAAAGTTCATGCACAATTTAAAAAACGGAACACAAACTTTATGGCCACCCTGCATATTGGATTTCCTTTAAAATTTTATGCCAGTTTCCTCTTTGACAAATTTCCTGGGCCATCTGAATGGACCTTGCTTTACAGGCTCCATTCCACCTCCAGACCACCCTTATCTGGCCCTTATCATGTTGTTGATTACTTATTTAATGCCGGTTTTCCCCACTATACACTAAAAGCTCCGTGAGAACAGAACTGTAGCATGTAACTTAAACACAGATTGACACTTGATAAAAATCGGAAGTATAAATTTCTCAGGCCAATATTTTGCCTGAGGAGCAAACAGGATTTAGATATGGCTATTTCAGAACTGATTGTTATAGTCTCTATAACTCTGTGAAGTTTTTTATAAATTCCCTTGGGGCCTGGTGTGGTGGCACACACCTATAATCCTAGCACTTTGGGAGGCTGAGGCGGGTGGATGGCTTGAGCTCAGGAGTTCGAGACTAGTCTGAGCCAGAGCGAGACCCCATTTCTAAAAACAGCCAGGTGTTGCAGTGGGTGCCTGTTATCCCAGCTACTTGGGAGGCTGAGGCAAGAAGATCATTTGAGCCCAAGAGTTTGAGGTTGCTGTGAGCTATGATGACACCATGGCACTCTGACTGAGGGAAATGAAGTAAGACTCTGTCTCAAAAACAAACAAATAAAATAAATAAATAAATATTCCCTTGGCCTTTGATCCTGTCCGTCAAAACTGACCATAGATTGATCTCTAATTCCCCAAGTGAGTCTGCAGACACATAGATATTCTCAGGGACCTGTGACAATATTTTCTTCCTTAAAAGGGACCCATATGTTACTCAAGTTTGGAAACACTGGTCCCTGCAGCATAAATTCAGCACAGACCATCTGGTTCACTGATATGTCTATAGATTCTACATCTTAAAACTGCACCCTTGGGAGAATTGTGGTCAATAGAAACTACCTCTGGATAGAGAAGATGACAATCTCAGGTGATAATTATTTTAAAAATAATTTTAATTTAAAAAAATCATAACTCCTCACATTATTAACCACTCTCAAGCATGAGATGGCACAGTTCTCTGCTCTGTGAATTAATTAGTGCTGTGAACCAGAAATGCTCTCAGCAGACAGATGACCCTGTTGACTATTATCAGTAAGAATGGTTTAAGAGCAGCTGTCCTCAAAAAATATATATATGTGTATATTCATACATACATACATTTCAGCCAAGACTTCGTCAATTTACTTTCAAAGGTTTTTGGAGGGTATTTGGGGGGCGGGGGAGTTGTTTGTTTTGCTTTGTTTTTTTGAGACAGAATCTCACTTTGTCACCCTTGGTAGAATGCGTCATAGTTCACAATAACCTCAAACTTTTGTGCTAAAATGATCCTCTTGCCTTCCAAGTAACTGGGACAACACGCACCCGCTGCAACACCTGGCTATTTTTAGAGACGAGGTCTTGTCCTGGCTCAGGCTGGTCTCAACCTCTTGAGCTCAAGCAATCCCTCCACCTCAGCCTCACAGGCGTGAGCCACGGTGCCCGGCCTTTTTCAAAATTTTATACAGTGCAATCAAATCATTTGTTTTCTGGTGCATTGTACAGCAAATACTTCCTAAGTGATTTAATTTCCATGGATATTTGGAGGGTACTACTGGATAATTAGTTATTCTTGCTTCCAAATTTGTCTAGGGTTAAATTTTAAAGCCCATGTTTTATGGCTGAAAATCCCCATGTCACAAATGTCCCTTTTTATGCTTTTAAATATGCCTATTTCATTCTCATTTTTAAATATACCAATAATGTTACCAACAGTCCCCAATGTTCGTGAGCCTTACTTTGTGCCAGGAGTTGTGTTTAATGGTTTGCCTCATTATTGGATTTAATCTTTTCAGCAACCTCATGAAGTGGCTACTGCCATTCTCATTTTATATCCGAGGGACTGGAGGCTCCAAAAGGTTAAACCACCTTCCCAAAGCCAAATAGCTAGAAAATGGTAAAACCTGGATTTTCACCCGAGTCTTTGTGAGCTCACAGCCCACATTGTTAACCAGACTGTGTGGTGTGGTTTCCTAAGAAGTGTGTCAGTCCTGCCATGAGGCGTATGCACTCACCTAGCAGTTCTTTGTTTGCATGGGAGGATGTGGACTCTGCAGTCAGCTTTGCTGATTTCTCAACAGGACATCCATGCACATGGAGATTCTCCCATGCTGCCTGCCGGTTACTGGGTTACTGCCGGAGAAGAAAATCTCCAACTCCCTGTTGTCTATTCTCATCCAAAGTCTAGTCTCCTCTCACTGTTTCCTATACAATGGCAAGAGGGTCCCCACTGAGGAGGACAGATACACTCTTAGACCAGGACACAGTCTAAGGACACTGTCAACTTAGAGTTTACCTTTGGGACAGTGCTGAAGGAGACTGCAGAATGACCTGTGGGGAGCGTGTGAGGGTCCTGGCACACAAGGTGCTTTCTAGGAGCTTTGCTGGAGACAGTCTCACTCTAGGATCAGGAAAAGCAGCTCTTCTGAGCACTCAGTCTGTATCTTGTGGACATAGTGTCCTACACTGTGCTCTTGGCTTTGACTCCCAGGAAACTCAGAGCTGAACTGGTCATACCCTTCTGAATCTGCAGTTCATGTGAAATGTAGTCTTAGGAATGAAGTGGAACTTTCTATAATTATATAGAAAGATGACAAAGTATAGGCAAAATCACCACTCGACAATCTCTTTTCCTCTGTTTGTTCCTTGTCCCTACGGACTAAAACTTCTTTTTTTTTTTTTTAATTAAATCATAACTGTGTTCATTAATGCAATCATGGGGTACAATGTGCTGGGTTTTTATATACAGTTTGAAATGTTTTCATCAAACTGGTTAACATAGCCTTCATGGCATTTTCTTAGTTTTTGTGTTCAGACATTTATATTCTACACCTAGGAACTTTTACATGTACCCTTGTAAGATGCAACTTAGATGTGGTCCCACCAATTACTCTCCCTCAACCCATCCTCCCCTCTCCCCTCCCCTTTCCCTTTCTTCTCTGGGGCTATAGCTGGGTTATAGCTTTCATAAAAAAGCTATAACTTGATTTCATAGTAAGACTGAGTACATTGGATACTTTTTCTTCCATTCTTGAGATACTTTGCTAAGAAAAATATGTTCCAGCTCCATCCATGTAAACATGTAAGAGGTAAAGTCTCCATCTTTCTTTAAGGCTGCAGCCCAGTTCATAATTGCTAAGTCATGGAAGAAGCCCCAAAGGCCCATTGACCCATGAATGGATCAATAAATTGTGGACTAAAACTACTTATTCTAGAACCTAACAGTCAGCAAATCAGGTCAACAGCTTGCTTTCCCATTGACGGAGTCTTCTAGAGCCCTCTGAGTAAGCCTCTCCATCAAAACTACTTTCAGGGAAGAAAGTGGGCATCTAATTCACACCCGTTGCAAATGACTGGTAAAAACTTAGCCTGCAACTTTTCTCAGGCTTGTACAATTTATTGGTCTATAAACCAAAGGGATGCAAATCTCAAGATGAAATTTGAGCAGTCAAAACAGGAAGGCTTCTGGGGACCAGGAAGGAACAGGGCTCACAGCAGCTACTTCTTTGGGCTGGTTACTAAGCAGCTTCACTTGCCTCCTGCCACCAGCTGCCACAGATGTGACCTTCACCTACCTTCTTCTCCGACTGAGGCTTCCACTTCTCAGGGGTAGGAGAGGCATCTCCCAAATTTACTGACCCTGGAGCCCTTGTCCTTGCTCCTCCTCTAGCAACTATCCCAGGAGACTTTATCCAAGGAAGCCCTCAGAAAATTGGAATTTGTCTTGCATAGAATTTGTCTTGAAGGGAGGCAGCAGAGATCTCAGGAGTGGGTCACACACTTGCTGGCTGCTGGGCCTGCCTTCCAGGTGCTGTTTGGTGCCCAGCAACACCCAGGACGTGCCATCTCAGCAGGATCCCTGCCTCTCCCCTCAACTCTGCTAGCCTTTTGCTGCCTCTTCCTGTCCCCCATGTCAGGCCTTGACACATCTCTGAGAATGTGGCAATGTGGCAAGAGCATAGACATTGACATTAATTATAACCCCTGCCCCAGACCAGCTGTGAGGTGTTGGGTTTATATCACTTATCCCTTTGAGCTACAGTTTCTCTATCTGTGAAACCAAGAGACAATACTTACTTCATGGAATTATTTTGAAGCACGGATGAGTCCATGTGTTTAATGCACTTAGCATGGTACCTGGCACACAGTAACAGCCTTTTCCTAAGGGCAAGGACAGTGTCTTCTTCATCTCTGGTGAAGGGAGGTCAAGAGTTCCCTCCTGGAACTAAGTGGGCTCTTGCTCTCTATTTCTGCCTTCAGACTCTACTGGAAGGAAATCTGGGCTCTCTGACCCTCCCATGTTATAAATGAGGAAACTTATGCCCAGAGAGAGGAGGGAGTTTCTCAAAGCCATTTGGCCTCTTAATGGAAGATACAGACTCAAAGCAGGGCCTGCTGGACCTCCCTCCTATAACCTGGTGCTGTGGTTTGAGATTCATGAAGTTACAGAAGAAGGAGGCAGGAACTATAAATCACACCTCCCTTCAAAGCTTCGTTCACATGTTGCCTCCTAGGGAAGCCTTCCCTGACCACCCTCCCTCTACCCAGGCTTCTGTTTCTCCCTAGGCATAGTCTGGCAGCTCTAGAGCTGCCGAATTAGAAAGTTAAATATATAAAGAAGGGCTGTGTTTTATCTTCCCACGACACACTACAGAGAGGTGCTTGACAGAAGTTGAATGAATGAAGGAGCACACACCAAAGCAGATTTGTGCTTTTATAAACTCAGTAACAAAGATTCCCCATGTGTAGTTCCTCTCTGCCAATCTATCTTTCTGTTGCATTAAGATTTCTGACATCGAGAGCCGGATTTCAGCCCTGACCATCGCAGGATTAAACATAGCACCATGTGTGCGCCTCACAAGAAAGCGGGATCAGAAGCAAAGGAACCAGGTGTGTTTGTCCCTCACCCCCACTGTTGGAATGCCGCATGACCTGGAAAATAAAAGATAAAAAGATAAAAAAATAAATAAAGATAAAATATCTTTGGCTTTGCAAAGATGTATTGACCATTGTGTTCTGTTTGTAGGTACAAACCATAGACACATCAAGGCAGCAGAGGAGGAAATTGCCTGCTCCACCAGTGACAGGTGTGCTTAAAATAAAACCACAGAACTACCAAAAAATTAAGCCTGACTCATTTACTGTGAGTAACGCAGAGATCTGCGTTTGAGGGCTAGGTCTAATGAAGAGTTCTCGTGCAGAATCGTTCTTGTTTATCTCTCTTGGGTTTACCCAGAGGAAACCCTGCAACCATACTTATAGGACTCCAAGTAGTTTATTTGTGAGGTGATTCCAGGAAACACTGGTAGGAGAGGAAAGAAGTGATTCAGGGAAGGAAAGTAAGCCAATACAGGGGAACTTTGGTTAGCAAATTATTTCTTTGGGCAATTAAGGCTAATGCTCCTGGACTTCCAAGAGAAGGAGCTGACTACACTTCAAAGTTTCCTGCCTAGAGAGGAGGAAAATGGGGACTTGTGTTTTTCACCCCCATCCATCACTGGCTGGTACTTCTGATCTGCCCTACACGAACCAAGAATGAGTGGTGGGGCTTGCAGTAGCAGCTGCTGGAATATGCTGGATGGTGACTGTCAGGAAGAAATGAAAAGAAACCAAATGCAACCTAACAGGGGCTCCAGCAATGCCAGTCATATCACCTTCATCCAGGGAACATTTCTAACAATTTCACTGGGTTCAGAAGCCACAGAATGAAGATGCCAAAAGAGAGATTTCAACTTACCAAAAAAGGTGTCCATTTGGGTCTTGCTTCTGCCATTCATCATTTAACACACATTCATCAGATGCTTGCTTATTCTACGAAACCCGACACAGTTAAAACGTATCCAGGTTATCAAGGTGTTATAAAGGCAATATGGCACACGTGCTGTATATTCCTTAACACCCCCCATGGTGTCTGGGCAGCTTCTGATAATCAAATACATTGATGTCCTTGCAGCAAAGCATGAGAACATTTGCACTTGGTGAGATGGACAAAGACTTAAATAGCCACGTCAGTTCAGGTCAGGTTTTGTAATTAGATGATTTTGGCTCCAAAGTTATAAAAATCTGTAGGTTTTAGAGCCTTTTATACTTCAGGGTTTGAAATAATAATTTATGGGCTCCAGTCCATTATTTCCAAGCTACCTTTCCCCTAGAAAGCTACAAAACGATGCCTTGACCTATTTGGTCACTCATCAAAATAAACACAAAATAAAAAGATTGTGCAGTCAAACATGGTAGAGAAATGAGATGCTAAGCCTACAATAAAAATCTAAGTAATCCAGCCAGCTGGTCTTTTTCCTTAACAATCAGTCCATCTTCTGGGTAACACTTATTGTCATTTATTTTCTTTTAGCTGAAAAAACTGAGACATCTTCAGTGACCACTGTTAAAACATTTAACCGCAACTTCATTCTCCAAGGCTCCTCAACGGACAGACCTAAAGAAAGAAAAAGCACCACCAAGGATTTGACGGTAAAAGTCAGCTCTGTCTTAATGCTTGTCACTTTCACTGTTCACAATGTCTCCATCCTGCAGCCTTTCCTTCTGCAGTCCCCACCATCAGAGCACCCAAAACATCTCTGCCTGGCCTTACGATCCCTGGTTTTGGAGTTTCTAAAAAACCTGAATAACATCCTACCTGGGATTGCTAGCCTCTTAAAATATGAGTATATCCTCTCAATTACATCTCCAGCTCATTGTAGGAACCAGATCTGACACAAGAGAAATGAACATATATGTATGCAGGACTGTACAGTCTGGGCATATGTGTTTTTATTGTTCTCCATCCATGTTCACTCATCTTTAAATTTCTTGTTAGCCATCAATGCTGTGTTCCTGAAAAACATTTGCAGCTGTCCCTAAATATGGCAAAGGAAGGAGCAGTAGATAATTTGCACAAACTCTAAATATCATATAAAGAGGGCTAATGGATCATTTGCTAAAACCAAAATATCTGTCAGAATTTTGGAAAATGCTTAATGCTACTTTTATAGGAAATAATGATCCAGCTAAATGGATCATTACTAAATGGAACAGTTTAGCTGGATCATTATTTCTCATTAATATTTCTCATTATTCTCAGTGACCAGTTATGTTGAAGGTAGCTCATGTCTGGAATGACAAGCACCAGGTAATGGCATAATGGTGGTCGCAGCCTTTTGAGTCACAGTCTGCTCTCTCCGGCACTGGACGGCAACAGTGCTGCTTTCTCCCTGCCATCACTGGTCACTAACCCAGACTTTTCAAAGTCTATCCCCCTTGCTTCTGACTATTACTTCAAACATCTAAAAAGATGCGTTACCACATTCAAATAGGGTCAGAAGAAGAATTGGTTATAGATAAGATACTTAAAAATAAATTACCTTTAACAGAGATAGAGATTCGTAGTTGCCAGGTGCTGTCAAGAGGGATAATAAGAAAAAACTCCTTAACGGGTAAGGGGTTTTGGAGTGATAGAATTATTTTGAAACTAGATAAAAGTGGTGGTGGGTACAACCTTGTGAATTACCAAATATTACTGAATCGTTCACTTTAAAATGGTTAATTTTATGTTATGTGGATTTCACCTCAGTAAGTTACTTTTTAAAATAAAATAAAAATAAATCACCTTAAAGTAACACAGGTTAAAAATGAAAAAATGAACAATATTTACTAAACAAAAACAAAAAAGAAAGGCCCAAGATACTCCTTTCAGACAAAAGAGAATTCAAGACAAAAAGCATTGAAAGAAAACAAGGAAGAATGTTTTAGTTTTGATAAAATAAGATAGTTAAGCCAAGAGACTTTCTCAGTTTGTCAGACAATAGAGCAGTACAATTTATGGTATAATGATTAGTGACCTTAAAACTCCATATCAGCCTTTGGCAGCCCAAATATACCATAAATATATACAAATTGGAGAACTAAACAGTGTAATTATTAAGCTTTAATTGAGATGTTTATTCAACTTTATACGTTACAGTTTACTATCTTTCCAAGCATCAATGGACCACTTATAAAAATTGATTTTATACCAGCTTACAAAGAACACCTCAGTAAGTTCCAAAAAGTAGAGTGTCAAACTACCTTTGCTGACCACAATGCCAAACACTATCTACTGTCTACTAGAACTTTTTCTAGTATTTACTCTGTCTACTAGAACTTTGTGTCATGATACAGAAATATTCTACATCTGCAATGCCTAGCACAATAGCCACTACCCACAAGTGGTTTTTAAACATTTGAAATGTAACTATTGCATTGTAGGCACTGATTTTTAAATATTAGTTAATTTTAGATATTCTAAATGTAAATAGCCCTGTGTGGGCTGTAATCCTAGCACTCTGGGAGGCTGAGGTGGGTGGATTGCTTGAGCTCATGAGTTTGAGACCAGCCTGAACAAGAGTGAGACCCCCCTCTTTAAAAAAATAGCTGGGGGCGGTGCCTGTGGCTCAGTGGGTAGGGCTCAAGGGTGGCGGGTAGAATGCCAAGGCGTCACAGCTCACAGCAACCTCCTACTCCTGGGCTTAGGCAATTCTCTTGCCTTAGCCTCCCAAGTAGCTAGGACTACAGGCACCAGCCACAATACCTAGCTATTATTTTTTGTTGCACTTTGGCTGGAGCCCAGTTTGAACCCACCACCCTTGGTATATGGGGCCGGCACCCTACTCACTGAACCACAGGCACCGCCCTTTTTTTGTTTGTTTTTTTAGAGGGGATTTTTCTGTAAAGTTCACATGATAATAAATGAGAAAGAACCGACAAAGGTGTTTTACAAAATCGTAGTGACTTTCCTGCCAGATTTTAAAATACATTAAAAGCTGTAAGAAACATGATCAATGGAATAGACTAGAAAATCCAGAAATAGATACAGGTACATGTGAGGATGTGTTATATGATCTTTCTAAAAGCCTTAGACACCAGAAGAGAAGGTACAGATTCAAAAAGAAACAAACAAAAAGCTGTGCTTAGAATATTGGCTATGGAGGTGGTAGTGGGAAAGAAAGCTAGTTAAATAACTACCATATAAAAACTTAGTTTCAGGTGGATTAAGAAGTATATATAAAAATGGCATCACTTTTTATATTTTTAACTTTATGCAAATTAATATGAGGGCACAATATTTATGTTCCATTGTTCTCAATTCCAGAGTAAAGTTCCATTTGTAGAAGAGCCCCTCACCCAGGGGTGTGTTATACACCCTCACAATGTGCACCTTAGGAGAGATTCCGCCTCATGCTCTCCCTCCCTCTGCATCCCTCCTCCCCCCTCCTGCTTCCCTCTACCCCCAAACTGGACTATAATAGTGTTTTATTGTTCTTAGGAACATGTAAGTGTTTATATATTGATGTCATTATTAGTGTGGAGTACACTGGATGTTTATCTTTCCATTCTTGTGATATTTTACTAAGAAGAATGTATTTCAACTCCATTCAGGTAAACGTAAAAGATGTAAAATCTCCATCTTTTTAATGCCTGCATAGTACTCCATAGTATACATATACCACAGTTTGTTGATTCATTCATGGGTTGATGTGCACTTAGGTTGCTTCCACAACTTGACAATTATGAATTGAGCCTCAGTAAACATTCTAGTGCAAATATCTTTGTGGTAAAATGATTCATGTTCTTCTGGGTAGATACCTAGGGTATCACTTTTCAAATGATATAAAGTATTTAACTGGTCAATAAGCATGAATAGTTTTTGATATAAAAACCAGTAAGCATTATTTTAAATTGCCTTTCTCCTTGCAAAGTGGCTGCTGACAATGTGTTGAATATCTCACCTCAGGAGCCCGCTCTGGAGTCAGCTGTGATGTATTAATGCCGTGGAACCCCACTACCAGTGACCCACTGCCTCGGCCATACACGACAGTGCCTTGACCCAACAGCCATTGACTACTGTATGGATTTCCACCTGAGGAGAAGGCCTAGGGAGGCCACAGTGCACCATCACACAGGGCTGTCCTGATACCTCACCAGAAAGCTGTCTCAGACTTCAGCATTGAGGTCTTGCCCATTCTCGCCTTAGGCTCCCAGGGGAATCCAAGACAGAAAACCAAGATGCTGGCTTCCAACAACAGAGCTCCATGTTCAAAACATACATCTTTTCCCTGTTCGCTTTGCTACTGTGTGTTGACTTGAAGATCTTTGGTTTTCTTATCCCTTTGATTCAGCTAGAAGTCCATGTCAATAATTTGTCCAAGGGAAAATTGTTGGCGGGGGTAGAGAGGTAGGGATTATTATTTAATTTATCATCAGTGCTTATTAATGTCTCACAAGCATCTCTGTCTTACAAATGCTAAGGGAAAAACCAGCCCCTGCAGTCAGCACGAGGGACAGTCTAATTTGGGGACTGTTCCCCATCAAGGCTACAGGTCTCCCTTCAGCCACCTCCTTCCTGCTAAGCCTGAGCTCACCCTGCTACCAGCCATTCCCATTGCTTTACAGTCACCAGCCACTGGATGGAAAGCTCTGACTCACCCATGCCACTCCTGGGTCTACATGAAACAATGTCTCATTAACAATTTAGGGTTCTTCCATGGGCTTCGTGAGTTTGCCTACTCTTAAAGGTAGAGGGACTTGAAAAAGACTACCATTGGTTCAACTTGAAGGCACTGTCCAGAATCAAAATGATGCAGTTTAGCAATGACCACATCTAAAAAAATGGATTATTTAAGAATATAACCACATGAAAACATTTTTGTCCTCCAAAATTTATTTCCCAATAAATATTCAGCAAAGTAGCAAAACGATCTTAAAAATAAAAATGGTTAGGGAATAGGCTTAGAAAATTTACAGGCCTAAGAAAAGCAAGGACAAATCATGGATATGAGTTGATACTAACGCCACATTTGTGGTCTATTTTGACCTGTCTCAAAGGCATGACAATTTAGAGTGTGCTTATAAAAGCAAATGGAACTGGGATTTTACTCTTCAGTTGGGCATTAGCAACCTTTTTAAAAAAATGTTTTCTCCTAAATCTAAGGAAGAAAGCAAAAGATGGGAGGTAAGAGAATAGTATGATTAATGTGTGTTAAGTGCCTGCTCCGAAGGAGGCAATGTTCTCATTCTAATCCTTATAGCAACCCTATTCAGTAGGTATTCTTGTTTTTTTAGATTTGATAACTAAGGGCCAGAGAGATTAATTTGCCAAAGCCACAACTTTAATCTACTTATGATTGGAATGCCTCACAAAAACCTAACTGTGTTGCTTTCAACTTCTATGTTCTTTTGCTGCTATGTGTATTTCCAGACCTGATTTGCTGCTAATTCCTGTGCTTATGATCCATTCCTGATGGGGGTCTGTGTATCTCCCAGTAATACTCCTTGCTGATGCCATGTATGTGTTATCCAACAGAAATGACTCCTTTGAAATAAGTCCTTGGCTTTTTATTCTGTTGGTGTGATTCAAAGCCAAACAAATAAAAACAAGTTTTTAAAAAACACAACAACAACAAAAAAAGGTCTGACTTCCAAATAGAACGTTTTCTTTAAGAGGCATGAAAAGCAACTATTGTTGTGTTACAGTGTTAAAATATTCAGTTTTCTTTGACAAAAACGTGTACTGTGTAAGCCTTGCAAAAACAAAAAGAAGAAGCCTGCTCTGTGGCATTTGAATTTTTATAAAGGTTTCCTTGTGCCAAATAAGTGCAAAGATTTAATTTACTATTAAAAACCATAAGCATATGTTATAGTTCCAGAAGAATTATTTTGTCATCAAGTGATTTTGATCTTTAGTGTTAATATTTATATTTAGATTAATTTTTATAAATGAAGATATTTTAATGGTTTAAGAAAATGAGGACCATAGGACAGTATCTTTGATGATTTCTGAAAGTTATGCTTCCCTTCATATTATATGCACATTGCCAAGAATTACTGTCAAGAGAAATGATAAAGAAGTAAAAGTCATTTATGGAAATAAAGCTTGTTGTGTGTGTGGCTTTTTTGGCTAGGGGTTGACTAGAGTTGAGTAGAAGGTAGGGGAGGAAGTCACATGGCTAGTAATTGGAGGAGCCAAGACTTGGAGCCTTCCTTCCAGTCCCTACCACTCACCCCTCCACTGCAGGTTCTCCTGATGACAAAATTTTCCACTAACTGTCTCTGCTCCAGTAGTCACACAAGGAAGCAGCAATTCTCAAAAAGAGGTGTGATGTTATTTTACATCCCAGGGGACATTTGACAATGTCTAGATTGAAAACGTTTTTTAAGGTCACAACTAGGAGTGGGCTGCTATTGGCATCTAGTGGGCAGAAAGCAGGGATGCTGCTAAAAATCTCACAATGCACAGATAGCCTCTTTGTCCAATTAGTGTTGCTAGAGCAGAAAAAGAAATTTATCTCACAGTTCCAGAGGCTGGGTAGTCCAAGGTCAAGGGAACTACATCTGGCAAGGTCCCTCTTGCTGCATCACACTACGGCAGAAGGGCAAGGGAGCACGTGTGAGGGAAAACGAGGGCTTTTTAAAGATTCATTAAACCTAGCAGGTACGTGTGGCTTAGCTTTCAGTGAAAACCCAAGAAGCAAGAAATCTTGAATTGTCTGTCATACATCAGTATTTTACGGATGAGAATAACTTCGTAATTTTTAGCAACATGTTCCTTGATAACATAAATTTACCTAATTACAAATGGCCCAGATATTTAATGAACACCTATTATTTAATTCAACATATCATTAAGATTTCAAAAATATATATAAATTTATTTGTAGGTGTTCATCTTATGTATATTTACTTATTTATTTTTAACAATTTATCTCGATTATTTATGAGAAAGATAATCATCACTTCAAGTAATTTCCTTGTGAATCATTTATGCCTGCGACCATCAGTGGTTCACCTAAGAACCATACAATTAAATATTTGAGAATTTTGCTAATAACATAGAGTATGTAGTTGTTTTTATTAAAACAGTAATATTAAAGTGGTCTTATTTGTCAAGAAAAACACACAACAATGATTTTTGGGTGTGTAGCTTTATAATTTTCATGTCAAACTCTGACACCTTAAGATATCTGTCAGATTCAAATATAAAACTATCTGACCAGTAAACCCAGGTAAAAATGTATGCTGACAGTGATACCAGAATTTCATCTTCACTCCTGGCTGGCTTGCCAAATATGATACCCGAGTTTCAGGTTCTTGGTGTCAGTGATTTGAAGAATGCATCCACAGACCACAGATCAATGGTTAAGACAGGATTTATTCACAGATACAAAGAATACAAAATCGCCAAAGCTCCCGGCAGACAGAACCCAAGTTGGGAAAGAAGCTCTCTCTCCCTCTGTCTTGGGGCTCTCTGCTCAGGGGTATGTAGAGTCCCAGAGAGTTATTTTGCCAGAACTCAATGGTTACATTTAGGGCGTGGGTCCTCTAAGGGGACATTCAGCCTTCCATTTAGTAGGAGGTAGCCGAACTTTCAGGCTTGGAAACTTATATGAAATTGACCAGCCCTAGGAAAGGTGGGGCTTCCCCTTCAGCCAGACTGGCACCTGGAAGGAGACACCAAGTCCCAAGTCCCCGGTGTCCTCCCCACAGTTGTCTCACCCCTTGGCTACTGGAGCCTCCTAGGGCCCCCCTGCCTACCCTCGAGCCCACTGGTTCCTCTGCTAGCTGCCGCCGCACCAACACTGCCAGGGCTAAGGCAACAGGTCCTGGCGCCACCTGTATCAACAGTTCTGAAGACATTTCTGTTTTTCTTTTATCAATAATTTTAAAATAATTTTTATTTGCCAAAGATAATTAAAATCACATAAACTTAAACATTTGGGCTCATTTGTTTGATTTATAAGTACTCCTTTAATTATAAACCAATTTGGTACCATGTAGACACAATACAAATACATAAAGAAGATAGTTGGATACAACTCATACTTTCTCGGCAAAACTGGAACCCGTTTACATGACTAAACTTTATTTGCCCTAGTGGGCAAACCAGTTTACATGGCAATTCAATTTTAAAAGATCTCTTTTACCTTTATTTATTTCTTTCTTCGGTTGACTAACCTTGAATTAGTAATAACATGAACAATAAGTTTTATCTCAACACCAGTAGAAAAATCAGAAGATTCAAAGTTGGCAGGGGAAAAAATAGATAGGCAGGGAACTTAAAAATGCTACATGTTAACTATTTAGAACACAGATTTTTTTGAAGAATGACTATTTGAGCCCTGAATTTTCCTTGTTTTAATTTGGCCACCAGTTTAAAATGTGCTTTTAAAATAAAAAAGATGTGCATTCAGAATGGGCCATAATATGTAACCACCTGGAATCCCAGAAAACCTGATGTGCCTTCATGTTTAAGAATCTCATGTTGGCCGTTTCAAAGTCAGATCCCCTTTAGTGACCCCCTCTCATCTAGGGAGATACTTGCAGTATAGCCTTGGTGTACGTGAAGACTGCTGGGGAACTGACTAGAGGCTGATTGTCCAGTGCCCTGTTGTTTCAGTTTGGGATAATTTATTTTCCGTTGTAAGAGCTTAGCAAAGTAGGCACAGTTAAAAGGCAGAGCATCCAGGTCTTTAAAATCATGAGCTTGACTCCTACATTGAATCTTGAGTCCCCAAAAGAGAGAAATGCCATGGGACTGAAGCAGAGACGAAAGGAAGAGTGAGAGGGAGAAGAGGAAAGAGAACAATCTCTTTAATTTCAAGTCATTTTCTTCAGGGGAGACTCTTGATTTCTTTCAGAAGACTCAAAACGCTAATTATAGGATGATCTACATTGTTTTTGATTTGCCTCTTTGTTTCAATCAAGGGCAGATAAATTAGTCTAGAGATCTCATAAGGCTTTTGCTGTGAACATCGGTGTTTAACCCCCATTGGACCAAATATAGTTACACAGACCAAAAACACAGAACATAGGCAAGCAAAAGCCAAAACTAGACCACACTGAATATGTCAGTGCTTGGAGCTTTTTAGCATTTACCCTTTTCCTTCAGGACTGTAACCTAGCCAGAATCCCCCTAGACAAGGGTTCAAACCCCCCAGGGCAGGGGTCAAACCTACCCTAGATCAAAAGGGTGGGACTCAAGCCCACCATCCTCACAGTGAGATTACAGACGATTTCAGTCGTAAGTGCATGTTAATGAGGAACTCAGCAGAAAGACGTCTAATTCAGAAATAGTGAGATTCCTTTCTCAAAAAAGAGTAGCTCAAGTATTCCCCATGGCAGAGACGGCTTTAGACAAATTGATCTCGGTCTCCATTTGGAGTTGGTGAAGAGGGCCCACATGCCACCAAGGGGTGATGGACAGGCTTCATTGCATCTGAGTCTCCAACACTGTTATGGAGCAGAAGGGGCTCATTTCCTGATGCCACAGAAGCCTGTACTGCACCAAGTTTCTGAAAGAAGGAAAGGTTTTATTGTGGGTTGACTAAGAAAGATATAGGAATCTACCTCAGTTCTATCTCCCTGTTCTGGCTTTTTACAAAATTATTATTGTTATTATTATAGACAGAGTCTTGTTCTGTCATCCAGGCTAGAGTTCAGTGGTGCCAGCATAGCTCACTGCAGACTCCGGAACTCAAGAGATTCTCCCACCCCAGCCTTCCCAGTGGCTAGGACCACAGGATGCACCACCATACATAGCTATTTTAAAAATTATTTGCAGAGGCTCGGCGCCCGTAGGACAGTGGTTACAGCCCTAGCTATATACACCAAGGCCGGCAGGTTTGAACCCAGCTGGGCCTGCTAAACAACAATGACAACCACAACAAAAAAATAGCCTGGCATTATGGTGGGCACCTATAGTCCCAGCTCCTCCTCCAGAAGTGCTGGCCCATACCTGTCCCCTGTGCTGGCTTTAAGTTAATACTTTTATTAAAAAAGGTTTAGGGAGTGGGTTCTGGGGTTGGTAGGTGAAGATGATTGATGGAAGGAGTGCAGAGGTCTGGAAAGTCATTGGACATACCCGGGTATCTCTTCATGCCTCTTCATGTGTCACATGTGCAAATTTGAGGAAAGTTATTAATAGTCTGAAACATGTGGTGGAAATTCAGGCTGTGATGTCGGCAAGCTCATTCTGCTCAGACTCCAGTTGGCCATATTGGTTCCTACCAATTTCAGCCAATTTTGTTATCTTACAAGAGGAGGGAGTTTCAGCATTTCAGCAAATTGTTTCTTTTCTTATCCACCATCCTGTAAGCTCAAGAACTTCTGCCAGTCTCTGGTTTCTTTAACTCTTTGGGGTAGGGTCTCAATAATATGTCTACATTACATCTAGTGGAATTAAGATTTTTCTTAATTTAAGTAAAATGCCTAATTTTATTAAAACAAAACAAACACAGTAATAGTGATTGCTCCAAGAAAGGGACACAGTGTGACAAGGACTCCCTCCCTGGCCAAACTCCCTCCCTAGCTAAGGACTCCCTCCCTTAGCCTGCCATGTGAAGTTTTAACAAGTTACCTAAGTGACAACCCGCACTGCACCTTGATATCAAGACAAGCTCTTCTCTCCACTTTGATGTCTTGTCTAATCAAGTTCTTCTTAGTAATTCTTTATCCACTAGTTCCCTCACCCCATCCGTTAGCCACAAATCCCCAATTACTCTTGCTGTATTCAGAGTTGAGCTCAGTTATGTACTGAAGTCTTTCTTCCCCACTGCAGTAGCTTGAGTACGATCTGCCCCTCGCCAATTTTAACAAGTGTCCAGCACAATTTTTCTTTGATAGTGACTAGAGATGAAAGGTAAGTTGGTGACTCAAGACCTTTTTATACCACATAAATTTCGGCTCCTAGAAACATATGGCCTATTTAAAATAAATAGAAAAAGGAAAAAGAAACATTTTCAGAGGCTTAAGATTTTATTTTAGTTCGCAATCCCTTCAGTTTGGAACTCTGCACTTGGTTTGTTGGACTTTCTCTCCTAGGATAAAATGGAACCACATACTCAGAAAGAAAACGTTCAGTACTGTCAGGAATATT